CTCCAACATCGTTAAGTATGGCATGCACCAGCTGCAAAAAAGTTTTGTCTGATTTGGATCGAATTACTTGATGCGGATATTGAGGTAATTCCATCCATGTGATCTGCGCTAAGGTAGATTATTCGCTTCATTAGGCACTAGAAACCCACTGCCGTAATGTTTTCTGGATGTGTCATGGTTGCGTGGATGTGTTTTCCAATTAGCATTTTCGGAAAATTACGTCACGTTACTCTGCCGATAATATGCCTGACGAAGCTTCGTTGAAATCGCTGAAGGACGGCATAGCTAGGCTGAAGGAAATGGCCAATGCTCTTTTCGCAAAAGATGATTCCAAACCTGCAGATTTAGGATCGCACCCAGTGTTCGCGAACATGTTCACCTAACCAACACACATCTTGCGCTGCACCGCCGCTTCGAAACGGAATGTAACGAAATGGCATAGAAGATGACGTTAAGTAGACCTGTCAATCTGGGCAATATGGACAATAGCACAAAATATAGATGGAAGTATCCTAATTAGATAGTTAATACTTAATGCTAGAAGTTATTTTTAAAATTGTTAATACTATTGAATTGGATTGTAAGTGAATTAAGATTCTAATGAACTTATCTATGAACTAATCCTAAACGAACAAAAAAACATACAGGCTACAGAGTGAATCGAACACGTTAAAAGAACTAACATCTGTAAGTGAAGGACCTTAAAATTAACTAAAAATAAAACTCTTCTAGTTAAAAGCTAACCCAAAGCAAATTCAGAGTTTGCTATATAGACGTCCGAAATTTCGACGAGCGATTTTCACTCCTGTGGCAACACCCAGTATGGAAGATCTTCGGCACTAATGCTGTCCCAAGCACACCAAAACGGATGCGGAAGAAGATCAACCGATGGCAAAGGCTCCGATAATTCAAGGAACAAAATCAGTTTTGAATGTTGTTGGAACTGTCTTCCACAACGCGAGGATCTGCTGTGAATTTGTTTGTCAGCTTTGACTCTAGTACTTCAGACGATGAAAGTGCGAGTCTCACTACCGACTGTATGAATCTGGGCTCTAAGGTGATCAGGTTGGTCCCTAAGGACAAAGACCCTGCCACACTTAGCTTTGTTACTTTCAAAGTTGGTGTGAGCAAGGATCTCAGGGACGTGGCCTTAGGAAAAAAATACATGGCCTAAAAACGTGTACCTTCCGCGAATTTGAGAACTACTAAAAAACCTTCGAGTCATTCGGATCGGTGTGAAGCCTTCTGCAGACACCGATGGCCAATTGGATTGGAACCAATAGATTCCCCGCTGATCATCTCTTTCGCTGAAATCAACCCAGAACGCACTGCCTGTAGCATCATGGAAGCCCTTAGTCCTCCCGACCCAGTCGTGCTTGCAGTTAGTTCCTGCCTCCACAGTCATTCCGGACCTGTGGTCGAGGAAGGTCTCGGAGTCTTCCAAAATCTTCTCACAGACAAGTATCTCGCTTGTAACAGCATTTCGTTGGTTGATCGTTCTTTGACTTCTAGGATACTACAATTTCGATCAAGCACTACCGAAAACGAGTTTCTCGATTCCGAATCAAACTTCATCTAGCGTTCACAATCAACGCTTCATCTGGAGCATTTGGAAGCAAATTATCCTTCTGACTCCGTCGAGCTTGCCGTTAGTTCCCACCGTCTTAGTCGTCCCGGTCCTCAGGTCGCAAGCGAAGACGGGATCGGATTAGGTTCAGAAACCGACAACAGGCACTCCTTCGGTCACTTCTGCACGTTGATCAGCTTCATCCTGGGACGCACCAGCTTGAGAACTTCGGAAGCCCCTGATCCCCAATCACAGTTGTGCCTCTCCTGCCAGCGTTCAGCAGTCGTTCCGGCCCTGTGTTTGGGTCTGGTGAAGGGGTCTTCCAAGTCGCTACTTCAGGCAAGTACACTCTCAGTAACGTCCGTTGTTTCTAGCCAGCCACTTCATGTTCGTCTCTCTCCATACGGAGCAATCGTACTGGCAGTGGGATGCACGTCTGCGAGTGCCGAGTTATATACTGCTCATGCAAGGGTCGTTCAACAAGGTGGCAGATCGTTTATCGGAGACTGACATAATCCTATCGATCGATGACTTTAATCTTCCCAATCTGCGATGGCATCTTGACGAGGACATCAATGGTTTTATTCCTTAAAACGCCTTGTCTGCTAGTGAGAGAAGTTTTACAGAAGCTATGTTTGCCAATGGATTGAGGTAGATTAATAACATTGTCAACACGAACGAAAGACTCCTTGACCTGGCGTTCACCAATCTTCCGGAGAATCTTGACCTGATTGCCGCACCAGCATCGTTCTTACCTGTTGATAACCATCATACTACTTCAGTAGACCAGATGTTTTCAGCTTTCTACGAATCTCTTTCTCTCTCTCTCTGAAGCTAAAAATCATATTGTATCTCGAAAGAGACAAGCACCGATTTCTGCTTTTAACAAGCCATGCCTAACAAACATTGAATGTTGAATAAGAGCTTATTCAGACAAAAATAAACTTCTTCAGCTAATAAATAGCCTATTAAGCTGTTGATCAACTCAAATTGTTAGTTGGGTGGTGGACTGTAGAGTTACGTACACTTCGTAAGCAACAGGTTTTTTCCATATGAAAAATTAGTTAGATAAAGCTAGACTCCGTGAGCTTGAGTTGGAGTACAAAGCCGCCCTTTTTGCAACACATGAACACTATTTGTGTAGGATTCACACAACCGTCAAGGAAAGTACTTCGCGCTTCTGGGATTTCATCAAGAAACGCAAAGCTGACTACGGCATCCCTGGATCGGTCATCTTCGATGAAATCACTTTTCGCTCAAGCTCGGTGCCATTATTGAGCTTCCAAAACTTGTACTTTGACATTGCTCAGCTAATCTCATATTCATTTGGTTCATTGTGCAATTTTGCTAGCTTTGTCAATGATGGAGTAAAGGGTGATACGGTCAAAATTTGGTCAAGGGAAAACGCGTGCAAATCGGTGAAATCGTTTATTTAAAAAATCAAATTAAATTTCTTTTTCAAGTTCAATTAGTATAAAATTCAGGAAAAATATTCAGTTAGGCTTCCGCTTTTCCAAATCCAAATTGCCGGACCTTACGCTTGACCCCTGCCATCAGATTTTGTACAGCCACCTTGTCCACCTTCTTTGCCGCAGAAAGCCAGTTTGCCTTGAACTGCTGCTCGCCCTTAGCAGTTTTTTTGGTCTTCTTTAGGTTCCGCTTGACAATAGCCCAGTATTTCTCAATTGGGCGGAGCTCTGGCGTGTTGGGAGGGTTCTTGTCCTTGGGAACCACCTGCACGTTGTTGGCGGCGTACCACTCCATGGCCTTTTTACCGTAATGGCAAGATGCCAAATCCGGCCAAAACAGTACGGAACAACCGTGTTTCTTCAGGAAAGGCAGCAGACGTTTATTCAAACACTCTTTCACGTAAATTTATTGGTTGACAGTCCCGGAAGCTATGAAAATGCTGCTTTTCAAGCCACAGGTACAGATGGCTTGCCAAACCAGATATTTCTTTGCGAACTTTGACAGTTTCATGTGCTTGAAAACATCTGCTACCTTTCCCCTTCCTTTTGCCGTATAAAACTCCTGTCCCGGAAGCTGCTTGTAGTCGGCTTTGACGTAGGTTTCGTCGTCCATTACCACGCAGTCAAACTTCGTCAGCATCGTCGTGTACAGCCTCCGGGATCGCACTTTGGCCGTCGTATTTTGTTTATCATCGCGATTTGGAGTCACTACCTTCTTGTAAGTCGATAGTCTGGCTCGTTTTTTGGCTCGATGCACGGTTGTAGACGATACACCCAGCTTATTTGCGGCATCTCGGAGAGAGAGGTTAGGGTTTCGCTTGAAACTACCGGCAACTCTCTTTGTCGTCTCAGCGGCTTCCGGTTTTCGATTTCCCCCCGATCCAGACTTCCTGGCTGTCGACAAACGTTCCCCAAACACTTTAATTACATTTGTAACGGTTGATTTGGCAACTTTTAGCGATTTTTCCAACTTTGCGTGCGAGTAGCTCGGATTTTCGCGATGCGCGAGCAAAATTTTGATACGCTGCTCTTCTTGCTTGGACGGCATTTTGACAACTGAAGAGTGAATTCCAAAATCAAAATAGGAGCAACATTCTACACACACACACCTTCAAAATGAGGGGTGTTCAGGTTTTTTAAATGCAAAATTGAAAGAAATACGTCAAGTTGATATTGACCAAATTTTGACCGTATCACCCTTTAGCAACTAAGATATGATCGCTCATTCAAGCTCAAGCTCTTCAAATTCCATCCATAATTCAGAACATTCCATCCATATTAAAGTACCCCTCTTCCCACCCACCCCACACCATTCCGTACCATTTCGGTAACGACGATAATTGCCGATAATTTATTCCATCCGACCGACCATGCAATCCAACCGTAAGTAATTCCCATCTCCTCGCGAGAATTTTCCTCGCACGAACAATTCCACCATGCTCCTTTAACGCACGTAAACTACATTTACAAAGTACGACAGATGTGTATATGTAATGCACCGTGGACTGTGCCCGAATGTGTTACAGCTTCGTCCTCTTTCCAGGTTCGGGCAGCAAATCCTTCCGGTTTGCTCTCACTCATTCGCGCCACTTGCTTCGAGAGGCATCACGGGTGCTAATTAAATAATCATTGACCAATGGCAGCTTTCCCGGCGGCGTCGGTGGAATTTGCCGATGGTGGTGGTTTTACTCGCTAATTAGCGGTGCAAAGCTGGCGAGCTTAATCTAAAGCTCCTTTTCCAGGAGAATTTGAAGCACGGCATTGATGGTAGAGATTTAGCGATTTACGAGGGAATTTGTTTGATGTGATTAGAATGTTTCGCTTAGTGGAATTGGGTTGGCTATTTTGATGTTCTGATTGGAATGGCATGGGGGAAAATGAACGAAAAACCATGCGCCTCCATTGAAAGATGTGAATCATCCAAAATCTTATTCTAAATGTTTTCTCATCTCTCTCCATTTCAGATATCATTGATCAACAATTCTTCCCATCTATTTAGAAGGTATGTATAATTTTTAAATGGATTTCAACATTTCTTGCGCGGTCACTGAGAGTAACTCGAAATTCAAGCTGAACAATAGATTTGGTTCTAAGTAACTTTGATCGATTCTCTTCATCGACTTTCGACATTCGACATGTTTGCCATATTAGATGCTAGATAATAGCTTCTTTTATCGAACATGGCCGTGGGGATGCAAAGAGAATGTCAACGAAGAGAATCTGTCAATGTTACTTAGGACCCAATCGTAGGAATTTCGTAGAATGTACCTTCGTGAAAGGCACCGAACCGACCGAATCAAAAACAACTTAAATAATCGTACCTTCACTCACGAAGCGAAGAACACTGAGGTCTTAATGCTAAATACGCCATTAATAACTAGTAATTAAGTGCGCTACAATCGCACATAACATCCCAAACAATTGAATTCACTTCACCATATGTTAAATACTCCGAAATCAGAAGCGTGTGAATAATTTATGACAGGCAAAGGAGAAGGTTTCTCGCGTGTGCCACACACAGCTGTTTCTATTTCCATCGACGTCAAACCGTTAGCGGTGGAAGTCACGAAGTGGGGATGCTGTTGCCTCTAGAAAGAGGGAGAAAGAAGGAGAGACTAGTTTCTTGAGTCTGGTTAAGCAAAGCACACAAAAAAACCGACACTTTACTTACGCTCTAATTCACTGGGAAATTATTGCGATGCAAAACCGGAGTACAGTAATCCCCCGAATAGCGCGGTGGGTTGAGCTGATTTTTAGTAGGTGATTAGTGTCCGAGTCACCTACAGAAAATCCGTCCAGAATTGGTTGGAGGACTGCACCACCCACCGCGCTATTCGGGGGATTCCTGTAGATGGGTTTTGTCGCGTGCACGCGGAAAGTGTCGGAGGATGTAATGCGAAATGTAAATTATGACGACAGCCAAATTGAATCAGCGATGCACCTACGTGTTGAACTCATGGTTAAAGCCCCTAACGACATTTGAACGTCGTCGGTGAAAACTGCTGCTAGCAAAACAGCTGCGCATGAAGGTGGCTCCTTAATTTTCATATCGTTTACGGAATTTTAAACGTTCAAGTTTGACTTCTGACAGCTCTGACCTTGGGGGCGAAACGCATCGGCTGAGACTTGGCTAATTGGGACAATTACGAGACGGAAGGCACACGAAGCTCGCAGTTGCAGGAAAACAATGAAAGTGGAAGAGTACCTCCCGGAACTTGCCTCCAGCGGAGACCAAATGGGATAATTGTGGTTCAGTTTACGTTGCAGAGATGACAGGATCGTTACGTGACAGCATCTCAATTTGTATGCAAAGTAAACAGTCGATGAAGTTTCAGTTGTGAAGACATCAATTGTTTGGAGTTTGCTGGTTTTAATTTTGCAATTGTTCAATTTTCGATTGTTTTGCGTATCCACCGATTTTGGTAGTTAACAACTAAAACGCTCCCAAAGAACATTGTGCCATGTACCGACAATAATTAGCTCTTACCCATAGAAAATAGGCAAATCGGCACCGGCAAATCGAAAAAGAACTCCTTAGAATTGTACCATAGAGTAGTTCCCAGGTAACAATTTGATGCTTTTAATTCAGCCTTAGTTTGAATAATGGTTGTACATATACCACGTAAACCTTTGTTCAGCTTTTAAACATCTAAATCTGGTGATTTTAATCAGCCAAAAGTTTAACAGTTATATACATTATAAAGTTTTTAAAGCATTAAATAATAGTCTTCTCCAACCCTTGTTCAGCCTTCTAGTTTTATTTAGAAAAAAGGGAAGACCGCTTCATAGCTTATATATTTTTATCGGACTACAAAGTGGTGACTAATTGGATTTACATATTTATATTATTATTATAAGTCTAAAAATTACCTTTGCATTTCGCGATTCGAACCAGCAGTCGCTAATTCACATGCATCAATCATACCTACTGGACCACTTAAGGGGAAGCAGAGCGCTCCGAAAAAAAATTACGTTTTGATTTTTCTAAAAATATTGAAAAAAAGTATCAAAAATCTAAAAAAATCACATTTTTTCTAATTTTTTAAAGAAAATTCACGTGCAAAAACATGTTTTATAAGTCATTATGGCATAAAGTTGGACTCAAAAAACCACAAAACATCAACTTTTCGGTTTTTCTGAGAGTCCAATTTTTTTTCATGATGGGATAGAAAAAAAATTTTTGCATGTAATTTTTGACAAAAATCTAAGGAAGAAACTGATTTTCTTGGATTTTTGATAATTTTTCCCAATATTTTTAGAAAAATAAAAACGTACCGTAAATATTTTTTTTTATTTTTGGACCAGTGAGCTTCCCCTTAAGCATATGTGAGGCAAAAGTTATGATCATTAACTTGAAACACGTCAAATTTAAGTTAAATAACATCAACTGGAAGAGTATTGTACAGCAATGCAGAATTGTAAACAACAACTGGTGACAGTAAAACATTCCTCTCATTTTTAAGCTTAGTTAACACAATATGGACACAAGTGCGCGATTTATTTCGATGGTCATGTGGAAGCTATTTCAGTGCCATAATTGAGTTATATTTTTGGAATTCTGTCTGAAAATTCAGTGCAATATGGCAGTCAAAACACAGAACTACAAATGTTAATACTTCCGACGTCGTCGCAGCCCACTTCTACCTGGAGCTATTCCCAAAAAGCTCCTCTACCTTGCCCCTACTGCTGCCGCTGCTTGGGATTAGAAAGGTAGGCAGCGAATTTAGAAGAACTAAAATGCCGGAAATGCAACGAGTAACACTGACTACATTTAACAAATCAGGCTATCAAAATATTTGTAGTGTATTCCTGAATTGTGGGGTAGTGTTAAGCTAAAATAAGGTTTGTTCAATCTTTAGATCAGCTAAATTATTAAGGTTGAATTATGGGGATACAATTAGCTTCATGCACTACTAATCAACTATATATTCAGCCTGCTGATAATCAGCTTTGTATATCTTAAATCAACCATTAATCAGCATCTGCTCTTACTGTTCAGCTTGAATTGTTTCTTGGGTTCTTGGCAAAATATCGAATTCAAATTGAATACTTGAATCGACCTTGTCCGCTTTGCAAGAAACTTTTCCTAATTGTTTGTTATGAGCAAAATTAGCAGGGCACATTCATATCGATCTATGATGCACCAAGAACTATAGGGAATATCCAACACATTTAGATAAGTTTCGAAAACTTCAGACAAGTTCAAAGATCTTTAAGGGTAAGTTCTGAAAAGTTCAGGACAGCTTCAATAATTTAAAAAAAAAAAATCGTTAGCTTGATGAAGATCAGGGAGCTTCATGTCAATTGCATCAACACCAAGAACTTAATAAGAATTTCAAGAAATCTTCTGGTGCGTTTAAAGATCTATACAAAAATGTTAGAGAGCTTCGGGAAAGTTGTGAGAAACTCAGGGCAGTTCCATGGGCATCCGAACATTATTGGGAACATTAGGGAAATTGTTCAGAACCTGTTTGCGAACAGCCAGAAAAAACTGCAGGAACTATACAGTGGAGCATCACCCAAGTAACCAAAAGTTTTGATAAAAGGCTATTTGTGGCTTAAGCAGCTTGGTTGAAGGTGGTCTATAGAATGCTAAGCAGCCTCATTTTTAACTCGTTATAAGAACTTGAAAGTTCCGGTACCATAATTGAAGAGCATTCTAAGCAGCTTCTGGTGGAACTTGAACGGAACTTTTAGAAAATAAATTAAAAAAGGTTTTTGTCCTCTACACCAATTCTATATTTAGTTCGCACTTTTATGAAGGATATTTCTAAAGGCAGGTATTAATGTGTATTGGTTTATCAGCATTAGTAGTAGAATTGGAGTTGTTCGAAGAATTACATCCAGTCCTTCTGCGTGAGAGCCCCAGCACGAACCGCTACGTCATCTGAGATATATTGAAGTGAGCTGTTGTCCCACCTACTGTTGGAGTTTTCAGTGCCAGCTGACTGACTTGAATATGAAATACAACACCTTGATGAATGTTAAATTGGTGTTTACCCGCTTGATATTCCAACACACTTGTGGTGTAGTGGTTAGCAATCGTAGATCGCATGCCCAATACATGGGTTCGAGTCCAGGAAACAACTCTTTATTTTTTATGTCATTAGGGTGAGAATGTTGATGCACTGCAAAGTATAAGAATTATGCTTTAGTCGGGCCACTGATCATTTCATATTTACGTACATTAAATTTTGTTACTAATAATGCTAATGGTGGTTTCGACTGGTTGATTGGAATCACTTTATGGGGTGGCTTTCTCAGTCTTTTAGTAGAAACGATTATTTTTTTTACGTTCCCTAAAAAAATAATCGTTTCTACTAAAAGACTGAGAAAGCCACCCCATAAAGTGGTTACTAATAATACTTGTGCGGATTGCTTCATGTGGCTTGAAAGTTTTGTCGGAACTTTATGGAACTTGAAAGTTCTGTCGGAACTTTATTTAAACTTTATGGAACTTAAAGGTTCGGTCGGAACTTTATGGAACTTGGAAGTGATTTTAATCGTTGAATGCGGAACTTTTGGTTACTTGGGAACACAATGTCCAGAAAAATTTAAAGCATTTGGTAGTGTGATGAGCATCAAGAAAGTTACTGGATCTTTAATGAAGTTCCGAGAATTTTAGGAAAATTCTGAAAACTCTATGTTAGTTCCATTAAGGAGAAGCTTACCACCCCAGAAAAAAAAGTTTTGTTGTTTCTTACAATATTTAAAGAAGACATCGAAAATCTAAAACCATCAGTTTTGAAGTTTGTAGGACTACGTCTTCGTGGACTATACTGCCGATAATCGCAAGTCAGTCCCATCTGCATTTTTATCATTTTTGAGTTAGCATCATTATTCAGTTTATCTTTCTATGTTTTTTTGAGATGTGCTATTGAAAAAAGGTGGTTTGTTCTAGAAAAAAGAAAAACAATACCAAGTCAAATTTTCCTGTTAGAAAACCATATGTTAGAAATGTTAGACAACACATTGCATCATGAGATTTGTCTCAAGACTGATTTTGTCCACTTCCCCTAGGGTATCTGGAACAAGTCCGGATGTGGCCAATATAGTTCTTACAATACTCAGTTGGACAGTTTCTCATGTGATAGATTTTGATTTAAAAAGGATTTACCACTTCCCCGGGAATACCCGGAACATGTCCGGGTGTGGCCAGCATCATGCTGGTCACACATCATGACGCTTATTGATCTTATTTTATGAATTCTCATGTGAATTGATTTATCGCATGGTGGGTTTGGCACGTTTATAAAAGCTCTGGTCTGATGAAGACCCATACTTACCAGAATATGTTCGGCAATTGCTCTGGAACCAGCGGAACAAATCCAGACACATTCAACAACGTTCCATGGAATCCTTCTACTGTTCAATACTGTGCTAAAATAATGCAGCATCGTCATGGAATTGTGACTGACTTGCGGTTATTTTTCTCATTGACGTTAAATGTAATCGCAAGGCAGTCCCACTCAGATTTTTGCCAAAAATAAAATTTTCACGATATTTTTCCAAAAGATGCATTCTATCACATTGTACGTTTATTTTTAAATTTATCCGTCCAAAGTAAGTTTCAAATCAGAATACTTGTAAAATCTTTAAACGCCGTTTTCTCATTTCCAGTTTTTTACAGATGGGACTGACTTGCGATTATGGGCAGTATACTGGGGTGTTAATAAAAAAAATGTGTTAAGAAATAGTGTTAGGTTTGAAACGCTTTTAACTTGGCCATTCATTGATGGATTTAAATTATTTTCACACCCTTTGATTCAGAATTGATGTAAGATTTGTTTGGTTTAAAGAATAAAATAATTTATCAATAGTATACTTTTGAAGATTGATCAAACTTTTAGGCCGCAATAAAGCAATCACGTGAGAGAACAGAGAGAGATGATGTTATACAAGAGCTTACCTATACGTGTTGCTTCAGATCGTCTGGGGATGTGACGGTTATCACATCGTTAGACGCCGTACACGGCCGATGAGACTAACTCAAAATAGAATAGGATTTCTCTCAAAATAGTAGAAAGTGAGTTAAATTTTTCTCAAAAATCTACTAGAATAAAAAAAGAATTAAATAAGTTCTTTTAAGTCTATGAGTACACTAGTATACGACCAATGAGATTAACACAAAATTGAGTTGAATTTGGGCTACAAAAAGGTGACTTGACAACCTGGAAGAAGCGGAATACCTAGCTCTGGTCCTCACAAGTTCCTACTTCACGCCTCCCCGAGTCATATGATAACAAAAGACTACCAGACTTCGCGACGAAGTTCAGGAAGTGCAACAAGAAGTCAACTTGGTACGTGACGAAGGGCAACCGTTGGTAAGTGAGTGCATTCCATCGCCAGTAGGGCTCTCAAATATTAGAACCGAAAACTCTCGTGTATATAGCTTGTCAGGGAACAACCAGCATCCTAGTCCTCCTTATCCACCCCCTCCCTCACTTTTGGAAAATGAAATTTCACCTAGTAGACAACGGGAGAAATTCGGGGTGTCAGAGGTTCCACAAATTCACCCGCAGTTGGTTCCAAATCGGGATTTTGTATCAAATAACGCATTCGGAAATTTCGGCCCATCTCAACAGCAGTTAGCAGCTAGACAAGTAGTTACCAAGGAGCTTCCAGTTTTCACTGGGGATCCAGTAGATTGGCCGCTTTTCATAAGCAGCTATCAACATTCGACAGAGATTTGTGGTTACTCGAACGCAGAAAACCTTCTGCGATTGCAACGTAGCCTCCGAAGTTCTGCCAAGGATGCAGTTAGCAGCTTTTTACTCCATCCGTCAACAGTGCCGCAGATTATGTCAACCTTACAGCAGTTGTACGGACGACCGGAACAAATCGTCAATAACATGATTGCGAAGGTTCGAGGAACTCCACCACCAAAAGCGGATCGGTTGGAAACACTTGTGAGTTTTGGACTTGTGGTGCAAAATCTCTGCGGGCATCTAAAAGCCATTGGGTTGGAAAGACATCTGTCGAATCCAATTCTTCTGCAAGAACTTGTTGACAAGTTACCAGCAACGGCGAAGTTTAGTTGGGCACTTTACCAAGAGCAGGCTCCAGTGGTAGACTTGAGTGTGTTCAGCGACTACATGGCAAAGATATCTTCAGCAGCGAGCGGTGTAACACAGCTTGTAAGCTTCTCTCAGAAAGTGGCGAAAGAAGAAAGGAGTAAGCCGAAAGAGAGATCGTTCGTGAACACGCACATGTCAACGGATCAGCGGAAGGGAAAGCGTCGTGAAGATGCAAAGAATACTGGATCTAGTGAAACAATGCAGAAAACAAGAGATGCTGATACGCGTTACGGCAAATCATGTTCAGTTTGCAACGTTGACAGTCACGAGATTGAAAATTGCACGGCATTCAAAGGTCCCGGTGAGGCCCGATGCCTCACGTCACATGCACGTTGGCCTTGCAAAGGAGAGGTTTGTGGGATCAACGATTGCCCGAAGCGACATCACCGTTTGCTACATTTTGAACCACCAGCGGAGCCGAAATCAACCAGTGCGGTAGTAACCGTGCATCGTCAACTGTCTTCATCAACCCTCTTTCGAATCCTCCCAGTTACATTGTTCGGACAAAAAGGTCACCTTGACACCTACGCATTCCTCGACGACGGATCGTCAGTGACACTAGTAGAGCAGTCAATCGCAGACGCTCTTGGAGCCTACGGAGATGTGGAGACTTTGCACCTTCAATGGACCGGAGGCGTCAACAAGAAGATAACTGGAACAGAAGTCGTCTCAATGGAGATTTCAGAATTGGGTGGAAGCAAACGGTTCAAGCTAACGGAGGCGTACACTGTCGAGGATCTTGGACTACCACGACAAACCGTGAAATTTGCAGAACTCGCAACACGGTTAACTCATCTTAGCAACCTTCCAGTGAAGAGTTTTGAATCCGCTGCGCCAGGAATACTTATTGGGCTGAGTAATGCTCATCAGCTAGCTACACTGAAACTGCGGCAGGGCAAGTCAAACGAGCCGAAGACCAGGATTGGCTGGGCAGTATGCGGCAGTCTGCGGAAGCCACAAGCTAATACTCTGCATAGACAACTTTATATGAATGCTAAATCGACAAATGTTGATCTTCACGAGTACGTTCGGCATTTCTTCGACATCGAGAGTCTGGGTGTAGCGGTTGTACCAACTGTGAAAGGAGTAGAAGAACAGCGCGCTTACAAGATTCTAGAAGAAACTACGCGACGGTTAGACTGCGGGAAGTACGAAACAGGCCTGCTCTGGAAGCATGACTATGTAGAGTTTCCAGACAGCAGGCCTATGGCCGAACGACGCTTCAAATGTCTTGAAAAACGTTTGGCGCGGAATCCAGACCTGTACGACAGCGTCCGTCGACAAATATTCGACTTTAAATCCAAGGGCTACATAAGCGAAGCAACGGAGGAGGAACTCGAAGAATTCGACCTACGACGAACATTGTTTTTGCCGATTGGAGTGGTCGTCAATGAGAATAAACCGGGAAAAGTAAGAGTAATCTGGGATGCAGCAGCGAGAGTGGAAGGTGTATCGTTGAACTCAATGCTGCTCAAAGGACCGGATCTTTTGACGCCGTTACTGTCAGTAATGTTTCCATACCGGGAACGCCAAGTTGCCGTGGCAGCAGACGTCAAGGAGATGTTTCTACAAATGTTGATCAGAAAACAGGACCGCAGCGCTTTGCTGTTCCCTTACAGGGACTCTCCTGAGTTACCGATGACCATCATGGTCTCCAATGTGGCAATATTCGGAGTGGCATGTTCTCCAACGCACTCGCAGTACATTAAGAACATGAACGCATCAGAGCATGAATTGGAGCTACCTAGAGGAGCAGCAGCAGTGAAGAAGAGACACTATGTGGATGACTACGTGGACAGTTTCGATACAGCGGAAGAAGCGTTCGAAGTTGCTAAGGAAGTTATCGAAGTACACAGGCGCGCGGGATTCCATATCCGCAACTGGATGTCAAGCGACAGAACCGTACTTGACAATTTAGGAGAAGAAAACCTGAAGCAATCGAAAGTCATGTTGCCGGATAAGGAAGCTAGATTCGAGCGCGTGCTGGGAATGGCGTGGTTGCAAGAAAAGGACGTCTTCGTATTCTCGTTGCAGTTTTGTGAGAAAGTGAGAGACCTGGTGGACGGTACTACGATTCCCACAAAACGGGAGATGTTGCGACTCGTTATGAGTATTTTTGACCCTTTAGGATTGGTGGCATCATTTGAAATCCACGGAAAAATCCTAATTCAAGAGGTATGGCGGACGGACACAAATTGCGACGACAGGATTCCAATGGAGATCGCCACGCGCTGGATAGATTGGATAGCGGTACTCAAGAAGATTGAAGGACTGCGTATTCTTCGTTGCTATTTTCCGAACTACAATCCAGACAGCTTCAAATCTCTTGAACTTCACGTGTTTGTGGACGCTAGCGAACAGGCCTTTGCAGCGGTTGGATACTTCCGTATAATAGACAACGGTCAGATCAGAGTCGCTTTAGTGTCGTCGAAGACGAAAGTGGCACCACTTCGAGGACTTTCGATACCACGTCTGGAATTGATGGCAGCTTTACTGGGAGCTCGCTTGCGGAGGACTATTGAGCAAAATCATTCGTTGAATATACGGAAAACTTGCTTTTGGAGTGACTCATCAACCGTCTGTTCGTGGATCAAATTGGATGTTCGACGATATCGCCAGTTCGTTGCCTTCCGGGTCAACAAAATACTGGACCTGTCGAGCGTTTACGAATGGCAGTGGATTTCAACTAAGATGAATGTGGCTGACGCGGCCACCAAGTGGGGAAAAGGTCCCGCTTGCAATGTTGACAGTCGCTGGTTTCAGGGACCTGACATCCTATACAACGTTGAAACAGAATGGACGAAGGTTCCAGAAGAAGGCACAGATGAAAGTGACAAGGAATTGCGGGAGGCGTTCGTGTGCAGTCATCTAGTCAGACAACCGGTAATAGATGCCGATAGATTTTCGAAGTTCGAACGACTGTTGCGCTCTACAGCATATGTTCACCATTTCGTTGATAGTCTGCATCTAGCCAAAAGTAGATCAACAGATACTGTTGGGATTAGTAGTGTGGATTTGCAGAAGGCAGAAAGAACGTTGTGGTCAAGTGCGCAATCTGAGGCATTTCCGGACGAAGTAACGATCTCTAAGAAGAATCGAGAAGGAAGTAATACACTTGGAATGCAATTAGGAACATCAAGCCATCTTGTGAAGCTGTGTCCATTCGCTGACGACTACGGAGTGTTACGAGTAGGCAGTCGGGCTGCAGAAGCGCAAGTGCTATCTTACGATACGAAGTTTCCCATCATCCTACCTCGAAACCATCGCATTACGGCGTTGTTATTGGATTACTATCACCGGAAATATGGTCACGCAAATGACGAAACCATAGTCAACGATCTGCGTCAGAAGTTTTATGTGCCTCGGCTGCGAGTGGAGATACGATTAGCCAGGAAACGCTGTATGTGGTGCCGCATACACAAAGCGATACCCGTTACACCGAAAATGGGGCCACTACCAGCGGTACGATTGGAACCCTTTGTACGTCCCTTCACCTATGTGGGCGTAGATCTCTTCGGCCCATATTTGGTAAAAGTTGGAAGAAGCGCGGTGAAACGATGGGTCTGCCTGTTTACCTGCCTAACTATTAGGGCCATTCACCTGGAGGTAGTTGCCAGTCTGTCTACCGATGCGTGCAAGAAGGCAATAAGGAGATTCATAGCACGACGGGGCTCCCCTCTGATAATTTAATCCGACAATGGTTCGAATTTTGTGGGAGCAAGCAGGGAGCTCATGGATGAAATCAACAAGATTAATACCGAACTGGGCAGCACTTTTACGAACGCCCACACACAGTGGAGGTTCAACCCTCCAGCTGCTCCTCACATGGGGGCTGTTGGGAAAGAATGGTTCACGCCGTTAAATCAGCATTAGGATCGGTTCCGGTAGTGTGCAAGCTGGATGACGAGTCTTTCGCTACGGTATTGGCAGAAGCCGAAAGTATGGTCAATTCCAGACCACTTACATTCGTTCCTCTAGAGATTGCCGACCATGAATCATTGACTCCCAATCATTTTTTGCTCCTGAGCTCAAATGGTGTGCGAGAACCGGAGAAGTTCCCGACGGATGCAGGAATGGCGTTGAGGAATAGTTGGAACATGGTGAAGCACACTTTGGACAACTTTTGGCGTCGGTGGGTGATAGAATACCTACCAACCATCATTCGACGGACAAAGTGGTTTCGGGACGTACAACCGATCAAGGAAGGAGATTTTGTGCTCGTGGCTGACGAGAACGTTAGGAATCGGTGGTTACGAGGACGAGTAATTCGAACGATACCGGGAAAGGATGGAGTGACTCGTCGAGCGGAAGTGCAGACATCAGGAGGGACATTAAAGAGACCTGCTACGAAATTGGCTGTGCTGGACGTGGCAAGTTCTGGTGACGCCCAACCGGAAGTTATGGTGACACGGGGGAGAGAATGTTCGCCGCAACAGCCCCTCGTACTGAATACCGCAAACGGTACCTAACGCTCGACTCACTACACCCGCGGGACGCGCGAACCGTCAAATGGAATGACGGGAGAAACTGGGATGAAAAATAACAATAGCTTCTCACTTTTCAACAATCAGCACTATAACAGTATTTTGCTATTACTAAAATATATTACTTACTAGTTGAACTTATAGGCTAGGAATTAAAACTAACAAAGAACTCTGTTGTAAAATATATGAGATAAATAGTACGGAGACTGAATTGTGAGTAAAAAACCTAAAATTAGTTGTAAAACCTATCCTAAATAAACAAATTTGTTTTAGCTTTAAGCTGATTACCACCCAACCGTGGGTTAGTAATTACTGCTGAAAGAACTCCCATTCTATCGCAACAAGTATACGATTTGCAACCTTCATGCCATACATCAGCGAAACAAACCCGGACAAAGACTTATCAAAATGGAATATAATGTTTGCAAACTTAAATACAGCCCTATGTAAACGAGAATAGATCAGTTCAAGCTCACAAAATATGATACAGATAAAGGACAAACTCGAAACTTTAGTGTCAAAGAAAAGAAGCTCATCATGAGCTTTAAATATCTCCTTGCTCAAGTCAAGGTCACCTGAAACCTGAAGATGCCCATGTGTTAGCTGAGAAGCCGTTTTAAAACGCCGTTTGTTGACCCTGCTAAGCGGCGTAGAAATGCGGATTCTAATGCGTCAAATAGTAGCGACAGCAATCCACCGACAAAGATTGCACGTTGTTGAATAAAGCTAGAGCAGATTCTTCTCATCAATCGTCAAGCTCAACAGGAAATTTGATTATTTGTTCAGACTGGGGTATATGCTTCTCATCTGCAAGAACCAAGAAACGGCTGACTGGTTAAAGGCTGAAACATTATTGGGCTTCTTCCTTCCTAGAGGATAGCACTGAGGATATTCTCGCTTTAGAGGAAAGCCAGAATGAAGGTTTAATGGTTGATGCCTGGCGAATCATCAAAAGGTATATCCTCAAACAGCATCATACTGAACTCGTATTCACTGTTGATGCTATATCCATGAAAACCGTGGAAGAATGTAAATTTACTGTGAATTACAAGTTTGAGGGTGCTTTTATAAGGAAAAAGATTCCATCAAAGATGGCGGATGAAGAAATCGGAAATAGCAATGAAAAAATTGATTAAAATGAAGAAAAGTCTAAAGTTCCTGAGATCTGCGAAGACACTGAAATTGTGGATAAGGGTGGTGGCAACACTGATCAAAGCAATAAAGAAGCTAGCCAAGTTAAAAACCGGGAGATCAGTCGGACTAGCAAACCTTCGAATGATGTTGACAAGGGTTGCTGTCACTCAGATAAGTCCAGCGCCAAAAGCACTGAGGCTGCTGCTGCTGACGACCGACCGGACACCACCACACACGGTGATTGAATAAGCACCGTTCGGCAAGACCGGATAGAATTCGGTTTTGAAATCTGTGTTAGGGAAAGCGCTTTTTGCAGGCAATCGGTGATAATTTAGATCACCGTAGCAACAGGTGGACATTTGCTGAATTTTCAATAGTGATCTATTGAAAATTGATAAGGTGTTCATTTCAGCAGGTTTGTAGAAAAATTTCCAATCGATTGGCTTGGTTAGAATTAAAATCCATCCGCTATTGACAGAGTTATAAGCGGTCAAAACCTGACCACTTTTCGTAACGCGGTCGATTTTGGTTTTTTGAAATTGCACCCCCAATATGTTGCCAAGAGACGTAATCCTACGTCAAAAGTGGTTGTTGTAGAAATATAAAACTGCACTGTTGGTTTCTGGGACACCCTATATTGCCAAACTAATTCCCTGTTAAAAGCACACAATTGCCTTCGAAACGGGTCGTAAACAGTTTTCCGCAAACTAAATTCCAACGACTATCGCATCCGAAAAAAGTATTCCAACAGTAGCTACAGCACCAACGAATCCACCCACCATTCGCCAGTCACCAAAGTCTACCAAGCGGGCGAGCAAATTGAGCGATAAAATCACCTTTTTATGGGTCAGCCATAACAATAAAAAAGCGCACCCAGCAGCAACAGAAGCAGCTCTTCCCACAGACTGCAAAATACACATGCGCTCGCTCTTGTGTTTATTTTCGGCAATCCTGTCAGGACCCAGCCTTTGACAGAGAGGTCGATCGAACCAACCAGCACGCGTGACGTTTCCACCCGTTAAAACTACCACCCCATCCCCTTATCGCAAACGAAACAGCTCTGGAGATGGTGGGCACTCCGTACGTAATGGCACTTTTGCCTGCAATTATCATTAATATGAAAACGACTACCCGGCTTGACTTTTGCTGTCACACGATCGGAGTCATTATATCACACGGTCCATTTTGAGACGAAGTCCGATGCATGTATCTGAAAAACAAAACAGTCCCGTCCTCCGAACTGAGTGTAGTCTATCCGCCGGAGCCCCCAGAGGGAGGCAGAAGGTATGAATATTTTTAATTGTCGGATCGTGCTCGGCAGCGGCCGCAGCTGCTGGAACACCGTGGAAGCAACGACGATGGACTAGGAATCCATCAAGCGTCGCGGCGCAATCAATATTCGTAATTATCGGCGTCATGCATAATCTACCACGAGGGGGGGTAGATGTGATTGGCATTTCTCACACCTCAGTCTGCTTGGCTGGTGGTAGCTGGATCGAGATCCGTGCAAAGCGAATCATGACTGCAAACGTAGGCACCTGGATGACCTAAGCCACTTGACTCTCGGCGGGTGATTGATTTATTTAAGTGCGAACATAGCTTTTAAGTGGCGATGTAGAGATAGTGATAGCATCCATGAAAAATGCATAGGGGTTGATCTCGGGGGAAAGCGTCATTCATCAACCCGATAAATGAGAGTGATAGTACATGAGACTGATCAAATTGAATCTCTGGAACCTTATTCAAGTTAAAAACTAAGAAGACTTTCCAGCGTTACGTGTAACCATTGACCACTAGCGAAATAATTTTCCAGACGCATTATTCACAACTGCAATAAAATTCATCACGCCTCATAAATTCATTGCACCATAACCTAATTTGCTCCACCTCCCCGAGCTTGCATCGTACATTAAGCTGGATCGTTATCGCCGAATGCGAACATCGTTAAACGCTCACTCGTTGATTGCTTCAATATTGAATAAGTTCGCACGTTTAATCACTCATGGGTTAATGCCAGTGTAATCTACTCGGACCATCTTCGTCGCTACTGCTACTGGCAGTCACCCCGGAGTGAGAGGCAGGGTAAATAGAATATTTTCGCGTCCGAGTTAATGAAAACAAATGGGCGGGAAATTTATGGAAGTTGACTGCGTTGGCCATAATTCTACGCTCCATTAGCCTGGTCGTTTTCCCCTCGCTTCGCTGCCCTGCCCATCCCACACAGACAGAGCGATGATGCACAGATTGGGGACACGTGAGCGTGCG